TCCGACCTCCTCCCCCGTCCCACCCCCACCCCAAAATCCCCCGTCCTCACCCCAAATTCTTGGTGATTTTGCTCAACAGCTCCGGCTTCTGCTTCTTCACCACGTCCATGACGGCGCCGTAGACGTCGCAAAGCTTGGCTCCTGCAAGGAGAAGACGGCGCCGCTCGATGACCTCATCAGGGGGCGGGGGGTTCCAAGAGGTCCACGGCGCCCCTAGAACCTCACGGGGGCTCCTCACCGTGTCGCATCTCCTTCAGCATCTCCTCCTGGAGCTGGAGGAGGAAGGCGTAGTGGTCCTGCATCTCCTGAGGTGGATCCACCATCAAGGTCCTCACCAAGTTGGAGCAGTAGGACTTGTAACGGATGCCCATGGCGCAGGTGATGGCCCCGAAGTGCATGTGGTTCTTGTCGCTTTTTGAGGAGGGGACACCGAAATTTGAGGTGGGGACAGCGAAATTGGAGAGGACAACAAAATTTGAGGAGGGAAGGACAAAATTTGAGGAGAAGGTGACAGAATTTGAGGAGGGGAGGACAAAATTTGAGGTGGGACACCAAAATTTGAGGAAAGAGCACCAAAATTTGAGGAGCAAAGGACAAAATTTGAGGAGAAGGTGACAGAATTTGAGGAGGTGACAGAATTTGAGGAGGGACACCGAAATTTGAAGAGAGACACCGAAATTTGAGGAGGGACACCAAAATTTCAGGCAGGGACACGGAAATTTGAGAAGCAAAATTTGAGAAGGTGACAGAATTTGAGGAGGAGGTGACAGAATTTGAGGAAGGACACCAAAATTTGAGGACCAAAATTTGAGGATGGACACTGAAATTTGAGGAGGGAAGGACAAAATTTGAGGAGAAGGTAACAGAATTTGAGGAGAAGGTGACAGAATTTGAGGAGGAGGTGACAGAATTTGAGGAAGGACACCAAAATTTGAGGACCAAAATTTGAGGATGGACACTGAAATTTGAGGAGGGAAGGACAAAATTTGAGGAGAAGGTAACAGAATTTGAGGAGAAGGTGACAGAATTTGAGGAGGGGAGGACAAAATTTGAGGTGGGACACCAAAATTTGAGGAGCAAAGGACAAAATTTGAGGAGAAGGTGACAGAATTTGAGGAGAAGGTGACAGAATTTGAGGAGAAGGTGACAGAATTTGAGGAG